CGATAAAATCTGTATTCCGTTGTGATGAGGATTTTTAATTTAACCATAAAGATGATCTTAGAACAGTACTCATTTCATCTTAACATCAAGAAACTGATTTGACGACTGTAAAGGCTCTGTATAAAAAATAAGTAGACACAATATGACGATATTATTCAATGAACCATGTTTGAATGAAGATATGCTACCTAAATATATACACATACACACGCGTAGACACACACACATATATATATATATATATATATATATATATATATATATATATATATATATATATATATATATATAAACCCTGCGTGAATATATAATTAAAAGTCATAGTAATATCATATCTTTTAGACCCTCATGTAGCCTATGCAAAGTGACGTAACTATTGTCTGATTATTATGTAGGGTGGGAAATTACCATTCAGTGTTGATTTCTATGTTTTCCACTATATATATATATATATATATATATATATATATATATATATATATATATATTTTGAATAAAAACAAACCACTTTAAGGTTCCATATAATAAGTTATTTCACCACAACCCTTTTACAGGTCTCTGGATCATCAGACTTTACTTCCAAAAGTTGAAATGAAAGATGAAAAGAAACTTACACATTTTTGACGGACCGCACCAGGCATATGTAAAATTAACGAAGTGAGGAAGTGAGGTGGAAGAGAAGATATGAGTAAGTTAGATGTACCATTTTCAATTCCTTATCCTTAACCCCACTCTGTGTAGGCTAGACGCCGCTTAACTTAACGTATGCTATCTAGATATAGATGGGTAAGGGGTGAGGGAGAAGGCCGACTTAAAGGTGGAAGATACAGTTAACAATAAAATAATAAATCAGGATTCACTCAACTTCTTAGATGCTGTTAATTCGCATTCCTTTAAAGGGTATCTTTGGGGGTTACAGTTTGATATAAATCTAAATGTCTAAAAAATCTACGACGAATTTAATTTGAAGTTTGTTGGAGTATTGGGTATTTTCTATGAAATAGTCGATTGGAAAAATCATAGAAAGTACATTGAAAGAATAATCCATTTTATATCTAGTCATCCTTTTTATTTTCCTAAACTTTTTTCTTATAGCTTGTTAAGTTGACATCTATTCGTTTGATTCTTGTTCATAAATTAAATTCGTTACTGTTTTTAGATACCTAATTATCAAGGTTTATTCCAATTCAAATAATTTTATCATCAATAATGATTATTAAAGGGTAATATATTTCAATTTAAATTAAATTATCAATTTAAAAATTTACCTCCGTATTATTTATTTAAACTCACTTCCAATTAGAGAATATTAGAGGAGAGAATTGGATATAAGGTTACTAACAGACAATTAGGTTCTTCTTTTCCAATATTCTATATATTTATACACATACTTTTTTTTTTGCTGATTATTCAGTTGACATCTATTCGTTTGAGTCTTGTTTATAAATTGAACTCGTGACTGTTTTTAGATACCTACCTAATTATTATCAAAGGTTGTTCCAACTTAAATAATTTTATCATAAATAATGATTATTAAAGGGTAATATATTCCCATTCAAATTAAATTACCAATTTAAAATTTACCTCCGTATTATTTAAACTCACTTCCAATTGGAGAGTCCTAGAGGAGAAATTTGGATAAAACACTACTAAGAGAAAATTAGGTCCTTCATTTACAATCCATACACATACACACCTCTACACATATCCTAACCCCTATCTATATCTACATACCTATATCTCTCTATATACCTATGAATCCATATATACACATGCACACACATCTACACATAAATTATATGTATATTCCCATATCTACACATATACACCTATAGAGAAATACATACACACATATCTACACGCATATCCACACATACACATATATTTATATATATATACCTCCACACACATAAAGTTATATGTAAATCAATATACATTTACACATACACACACAAATGCCCATATGTACATCCATACATATGCACATCTATACGCATACGCATACACATACACACACAAATGCCCATATGTACATCCATACATATGCACATCTATACGCATACACATATACATATACACATATATACACACACACACACACACACACACACACACACACATATATATATATATATATATATATATATATATACACACCCACATCGTTCTCTGGATATCATCCTCTTGGGTCTACTCATACGGATTACCTAGATCTGCATAAATTAAATATATATATATATATATATATATATATATATATATATATTATGAAGTGGATTAAATCCGACAATTACGTAATATCCTTTCAGTTTATACGTTATTTTATTTTTATAGATATAATGTACTTAAGTAGTAAATGTTCTGTTTTTTAATTAAACTTTATTAATTACATTTACCGGCCTGAATTTCTAAGAAGTTATGGAAAAAATATGCGCTCTCCGAGCCTCTACTTAAATAAATTATATCTATATGGCTATAGTAGTGTGCGGTTGTACAGAGCCGACAACACTTTTTCGAAAAGACGGATACAGAGAACCGGCGGTCCTCAAACGACCCTCCTTTAATTCATCGTTATCCTTCTCCCAGACCGGTTGACACACAAGGCTATAGAACCCAGTCTGTGATGCTATTAACCTTCCAGCTAGGGTATTCATACCTCTCCCAATAGCATTACCATGTAAGTGAATATAAGGAACGAAATTCGACTTGGAACTCGGCTCTCGCATTCCACAATCCGAGCCGCTATCCGTTACTCCAACGTTCCTCCATATATATTTCGACCTTTTTCTTCTCCCCCTCTCTCTTTCTTTCTAAATCTACTCTTCTTTCCAATCTTCCTCTCCTTTTTTTTGTCTGCTCTTTTCACGTACTTTTAAAGGCTCCCTCTGTGTCTTTTCTCTTTTTCCTTCTTTTCTCCTATCCTCTACCCCACCCGTTACCCTTACTTTCCAGTGTTTGATTCCGCTTTATAGCCGGCTCACAAATTCCTGAGTTTATACTCTAACAATAAAGAAGCCCAATTTAATAACTTGACTCATCGATCCTAATCAAATCTGATATTGCAACGGAGAATTTTTGTCTTTGTTGTTGGATGGAGCAAAAGTCCGTGGATTGACCATGTGTGGATATTTGGCCAATGGACACATTAAACATAAATAAAACAATACAGAATTGGAACAAAGACAATCAGAATCAAAAACTGTTAGAATAATATGTTTGGGACAAATCTCTTTGGATTCTTTTTATTTCTTCTTTTGTTCATTTTATCTTTTCAGTCTGATTTGCTATTCTTTCCCCATTTTTAGCAAATTTATTTTAATTTATTTTTGTTCTTATTTAACAGACTTATTTTCTAATATTGTCTTTATTTAACCAACTTATTTTTATCCATACTTTAACCAACCTATTTTTATTCATACTTTAACCAACCTGTTTTTATTCATACTTTAACCAACTTATTTTATTCATACTTTAACCAACCTGTTTTTATTCATACTTTAACCAACTTATCTTATTCATACTTTAACCAACTTAGTTTTCTTTCTTCTTGTTCACATTCTTATTTACACTATTTACATTGGACTGTTGTTCTCATCTTTACTGTAAAATTCACGACGTTTGGCCGTTCTCCTGCTGTCTTCAGGTGATTTTTTTTTTCGAACCGAACCTTTTATTTAGTCTACAGGAGGAGATTGTTCTAATTCCACACATTATGCTTTTTCTGGACATCTTAGTTTTAGTTAATTTGCCTTGATAAATCTCCAAGTTTTGATCTCTCCGTTGAGGCCAGGGATTGATTGATCTATTTTTGTTTTTCCCTTTATAAGACATAAGATTAAACGGGAATGGTGGAGTTAATAAGAAGCTGTTTGCTCTACGTTCCGATTGAGTAGGGTTTTCTTGCTTCCAATAATAGCAATTCGAAATCAGCACATTTCAAAGAGGAACGATCTGTAGCCTATGGCACTAGAGTGAGACGCTTAACTCTTTCAGGGTAGGGTTGGTTTTTAACGAAGATTAGATTAGTCTGGCGCAAGGCCAGAAAAATAGTAATCGTATTAACTACCGACCAACACTGCTAACCAACCTATTTTTAATTAGAACGCTTATATATACGAGGTACATTCCCGAAGTTTTTTGAGACTTTTTTTTTTAGGAGAGGCAATAATAACTGCCATAGATTATTGTCATTTTAGTATATCATTACTATATATTTAATGAACTGACCTCTCATCTTTTGTTATTCCAGATGAAAGAAAACGGCTGTAACAATTCTTTGAGCATACCCTACGAAAAACTACTTGTCACAGTTGACTAGTTTGCAGTATACAGTCAGGACGTGAAGAAAATTTCGATGATCGCCGTGCAATAAAGTTTTGGGTAAAACAAGCAGGGGGAAAAAGCAACAGAAAATTCCCCAGAATGATTATGGATTAATTTATATGAGCTGAGTATCTGTTTTTCACTGGCACAAGAGTTTAGAGAGGAGGGGAAATATGCGAGAGACAGAGAGAGAGAGAGAGGCGTCAAAATAGCTAAGAAAATTCACAATTTTTTAAATGAAAACTGTCATGTATCTATAAAGACAATAAGCGTACAGTTTCAATCTGCTTTGGCAAATGTACACAGAATTATTGATGATGATCTGAACATGCAAAAATTTGTGCAACGGCCTGTATCCGGGGTGATCATTAGCGAACAGTAAGAAAGACGTGTTGATGACAGAGATGGAATTTAAAACTGCCCCTTATCCTTTCTCCGGTCCAGACCTTTCTCCCTGAGATGTTTGTTGTTCCACAAGCTGGAAGAGAACATCAGGTACAGTCGTTCTGTGAATATGAACGTTGCTGTGACAAGCGTCCTGGAGACATCTACTTTGGATGAATTCCATGAAGCCAAAGTAACTAAAGCACTCCAATAAATGCATTGATGTCGAAGAATTCTACTTTGAAGGCGATTAGAGTTTCGAACTTCTTTGAAATTAATACATACATACATACATACATAGATAGATAGATACATACATAGATAGATAGATAGATAGATAGATAGAGGCACAGGGGAGTAATGGTTAGCGGCTTCGATTGAGGAATCGCAGAGGCGAGTTCCAATTCCAGTCGAATACATTACATTAACTTACGTGCTAATACCCTTGGGAAAGGTATGAATCCTCTTCCTCTCCCTCCAGCTATGGGTAAAATAGCAGGCAGACTGGGTTATATAGCCTTGGATGGCAACTAGTCTAGGAGAAGGACAACTCTGAATTCAAAACCTGCAGAGGGTCGTTTGGGAACCTTGTGGCATTCGGTGCACCAGGTCTCTGTATTCGTCCCTTCAAAAAGTGTGGATGGTCCTACACGAGGCCTTCACCACTATAATCAAATCTCATGTGCCGGTGTTGGGCTGCCGGTTTCCTGATCTGCTTGGCCCTCATACGTCGACGGGAGAGTCGATTACAGATATATATATATATATATATATATATATATATATATATAGATAGATAGATAGATAGATAGATAGATAGATAGATAGATAGATGATATGAGCATAAAATATATATTGAGCATAAAACCGTGTTCGATGTAACACATAAAAAGATACAGAGCGAGATATATATGATGATATAAGGTATTTAACTTGATCCTTCATCTGTCTTCGCGAGCCCAAATTTCATATGTAGGGAATCGAGCTTCACCAACTTCAGATCATCAGATAATTTAAAAGATCACCAGAGATCAACAGAGAATTTAAATGCAAACGCTAACTATACCAAGTTGTGGGGTTAAAACTTTGGCTAGTCCGTCGGCCTGTTTATGTGGAGCGATATCTATTCCTCATATGGACTTATCGAAATACCGTCATGGCGAAATTTTTTTGTGTAAAATAGGTGTGTTTCGCGTGACGTTCGATCAATTTTAACAGGAAAATATCTTCATATTTTAATAGTTTCTTGATTTCATATTTACAATCCCTGTCTCTTTTATAAACATGTGACCATTTATTTTTTCGTATATGTTGACATCTTCTAGAAGTTTTTGTGTGTGTGTGTGTGTGTGTATCCTTAATTGTAATTACAAGGTCTTTGTGGGAATTGGTTGCATGAATATTTTGTTATCAGATATTTCTTGAAACTACATCCGCGTCCTGAACATGACGATAAATTACGTCCAACAACAAGGCTTCAGCTAATGTTTTCTGAAAAATAATGTTGCCAGCTATACGTTTTTTGGAAAAAATAATGTTGCCCGCTATGTGTTTTTGAAACAATAATGTTGCCAGCTATGCGTTTTTTGAAACAATGTTGCCAGCTATACGTTTTTTGGAAAGAATAATGTTGCCAGCTATGCGTTTTTGAAAAGATAATGTTGCCAGCTATATGTTTAATAGTACTGTATATTTAATATATGTATAGGTATATGTGTATGTATGTATATGTGTATATATATATATATATATATATATATATATATATATGTGTGTGTGTGTGTGTGTGTGTATACATATATATATATATATATATACCTTAATTTTGCATTAAATGACCCACAGTGGTTGATATGCCATAAAGACCAACCAACCAAGCAACCATCCATACATCTGCAAGGAAGTGCTGTTTCACTGGTCGTTTCAATTGTGGCTGTCATTAAACTCTGGATGTACCCATTTATACTTATTATATAATCTGTAATGTCGTCTCTCCGCAATTCGATGGCAAATTTCAGGCCGAAGCTAAGAGGCTCCAGTTGTGTATTCGAAGGTTTTAAATTGGATACATTTATTATTCGATTTTTTTTTCTGCTCACTCTAGATCATTTACTTTTAGAAACTAATATTTTAGCCTCTTTTGGAAATGCGGATTTGTTTATTACGATTCTTTGTAATTGATCGTATTTAGTTAAGACGCTTTGAGAGAGAAAATAATTTCCTACTTTGTTAAATTTATCTTACAAAGTATTAATTCTTGTTCTTCCAAGTTACAGGCGGAGAAATTCAGGAATTCGTGCACATGTAATTGAAATGTGGGATGTGAAGTTCTGAGTAATCTATATGAACTTTGAGGAATAGCTTTCTATTCAATGCCATATATATATATATATATATATATATATATATATATATATATATATATATATATATATATATATAAGTAAAGTTGTCGTAATATTTAATAAACACATAACATATATATATATATAAATATACGTACATATATTTGCGTGTTTGTGTGTTACTTTTTCTTTCTCTCTCTCTCTCTCTCTCTTTCTCACTCTCCCGCTTTCTCTCTATCTATGTATATCTTTTTGTTTGTGTATTTATGCAAGAATATTCACACGATTGGGTCGAAGGTTTCTTGGTCTAATCATGAAATATCTTTTCTTTTTTTATAGCTAATATGAGTTTGGCAGATCGGCCCGGGAAATTTTCAGCAACATGTACACACAGGCATATATCTGATAAAAATATAGTTTTATGTAAATCTAAAAAGTAGAAACTGCGTTCAACAGCGAGCGGCCTGAAGATTGTGTCCAAAAACGAAACGGACTCTCGACGCATTGGTGTTGACAGTGTATATATATATATATATATATATATATATATATATATATATATATATATATATATATATATATATATTTGCGTAACTACACACAGAACAATTTTTGAAAAAGAATGGCGTCTCATTCGAAAGTACTTGGGAAGGAAAAAAATTATATAAATTCAAAGTTAATATTGATCTCACCAAACTTATTCGGAAATTTGAAAAATTTTGTTAAAAAATTGATAGGCAGGAACTTGTCCATATTATTTAACAAAACAATTGTTGCAGCCAAAATACACCGATACCAGCGTACGGCAGGTTTGGAAAGTGCCTAAAAACGATGGGTTGATCCAAACCTTGTGAGTAAAATTTTGGGGACGGAACTAGCACGAAGTCACAAGTCATCGTGACCGAGTATTTGAGTGTGCTGGCGTTTGTTCAGATTGATGAAAATGCTAGATAACATGCTCTCTCCCAGAAACTGTAACTAAGGTCTGCTTAGCATAGTTTCAGTATAAACCACAGGATGACTCTGTGGGTGTTGAACAAACACAAATGTGTCTAAGCGAGCGTCTGTAACAGGGATTGGCTAGCCACCCTAATGGACAGTTATCCTCGAATACGAGTGGCCAGATATTATTATTATTATTATTATTATATTATTATTATTATTATTATTATTATTATTCATAGCAATTCATCGAGTCTAGAAGAATCCTCAACAGAATGCAGAAAGCACTAGACCGCCGTTTCGTCCTTTTTGAGACTCCTCAACACTACCGGACCTAATGTCTAATGTAAGGATGAGGGCTTAGCAATGGGATCGCCATTATCACCAGCAATGGCGAATAAATACAAGGAATACTTTGAGGAAATGACATTAGAATCTATATCTCTAAAGCCAACTATATGGTTAAGGTACGTAAGTGACACCTTCATATTCTGGCCACACCAGGAAGATGTTCAGGTTCTACTGGACCACGTGAACTCAATAAGACTTCCGATACAGTTCACAATGGAGAAAGAGAGTAATAACACACCCATTCCTGGATGTTTTAATATCTCGAACAGAACATAGGTTGAAGACATCCGTATACCGTAAACCGACATTCACCGAACAGTACCTCAATTTCAACTCCCACCATCCATACAGCGTAAAGAATGGGATCGTCCGCTGCTTACAACACCGAGCAAAAGTCATAAGTGGCGACCCAGAGACATTAGATAAAGAATTTGGTCAATATAGGTAGTACCCTACAACGTAACAACTACCCTGGGTACATGGCACCAGCCACAAAAAACTGGGATAGGCTGGTACAAGAGGAGGACAACAACACTCAGAAAACAGTCTGCCTGCCTTATGTGAAGGGGTTATCAGAGAAAATACAAAGCATCCTCGGTCCATATAACATCAGGACAACCTTCAAAAGCTTGACGACACTTCGCAGATATCTCTCCCGAGTAAGACCCCCACCCCTATAAAGGATAACATGACTAAAGTGTATACGCTAACCCATGCAGCTGCGGAAAGAAATATAATGGGGAGACAGACCGCCCCCTTAAGGTAAGACATCAAGAACACCAGAAAGCTGTAACATGAGGGGAAGTGAAAAAATCAGATGTGGCAGACCGCATATGGAGAGAGAAGGGAGATCACCGCCCTCTGTGGGATCAGATTGAGATCATAGACAAAGAACACCATTAGAAAATTCGTAAACTTAAGGAATCAGCACATATGCTAGGCCACAAAAATCTCCTGAGCTGACCAAGCATAGAAATGAATACAATATGGGAACCAGTAATAAGGAGTGCCAGAGAAAAGCAATAATAACAACAAAAGTTGCAATATGAGCTCTGGTAAAAACATGTAATGGTAACAGCAAAAATTGCAATATGAGCACTGGTAAAAATTATTGCTGAAGACATTAGGTTTATAATACCCAGATATTCATACCCAGATATTCATACCCAGATATCCTCAAGGACACATGGCACAGTGGATAAATGCGTTGGTTTGATCCAGTGACAGGACCCAAAGAGTGGGTGTTCAATACCCAGTTAAGGCAGTGAAGCAGTGAACTTTCAGAGGGAAATTAACAGGAGATAACTGATAACTGACATCCATTAAACATGGCAAGTGGAACTAGAACAGTCTACATTCCAACCACCTGAAGAAGGCCGGAGCGTACAAACGGCCGAAACGTTGTGATAAATATGGCGACAAAGATGAGGACAATATTCCGAACAATGTAATTAATACGTACAGATACGCAACCATATATAAAGCCAAAATTTAGAAATTAATCAGTTTGTCTGACGATCACAAATAGCGTGAAACCTAGAGCCATGAACTCACATCAATCGAAATATATATATATATATTTTATACATATATGAGGTGTTCCATACTTTCGGCCTTGTGTCGTATCGAAGTTTCGCTTAGCAAATATATACGTCTATATGTGTGGGAGTGCGTGTGTGTGTGTATGTGTGTCCCTTCATATATTTATATGCACATCTAATACATTGATTTCTCATGTCTCACATTTGGCTCAAGGTTTTATTGCCGTGTTTGTCTGGTTCA